ATATATATGTCTGGTACTTGTAGTAAAATTTTGCCTCCTGAGCCCAGATTAGACTATCAGCCTATGCGGTCAAATATTTTTCGACAGTCGAGGGTGCAAGGTATTTACTACCAAGATTGTTTTGTCCTGTTCACATTGTTATTGTATTTTCTTTCAGATAAATGTCAGAGAAGCGCCGCAAACACAAAAGAGGAGTCCAAAGACAAAGACAACAATACCAAAAGCCCATCTACAACAGCACCTGCTGTTGAGCCAGAGAAAAGATTGCGCAATTTGCAAAAGAAGCTGAGGCAATCACTAGAATTAGAGGCGAAAGTCACAGCGGGAGATCTAGAACCACATAGTGAACAACTAGAGAAAATCAAGAACATACCCATGCTTCGGGCCGAAATTTCAGATTTAGAAAGCTCCGTGAAGAAGTAGGCTTGGATATTTAAGCTATTAAAGATGATTCAGCGAACAAATCGAAGTTGCTTGAAAGAGTTTCGACTCGATTTAATATACAGACTCCCCTCTTTCGACATGCGGGTCTAATGTTTGATATTTAGTCCTACATAGTTTGTATATGCACAAGCCAAATTAGCTATTTATTATATAATTGTATTTTTTGAACTACTGTTACGCAGAAATAGAAGCTGCGGAGTAGTCAGTCGCGTCATGGATCTGCGTTTCAAACACACCCAAACCTAGTGTGTTCATACAATCCGTGGTGCGAGCCAGCACCCGCAAACATGAACAGCAACAGGAAATAAACCACACAGGTGTCACAGGTGTCAGTTAGTGCGTACTTCGTCCATACTTAAGAGAGATGCATCATCTGCATGTCATGTCAGAAGCCTGTAGGACTTCATGAAGTAACGAAGAATCTATCATATTTGTCAACTCCCAGATTCTAATTATACCAAATGCGATCGAGGTGATCAGTGCAATCTAGCACGGCAAATGGTATTCCAGATTATCCCAGTAAGTCATTCATTGTTGTTAACATTCAATGCTATCCTGACCTCAATAAAATTCAAATTTAGCGTCTATATAAAGAACAACAATTAATGATAGATCGTCGTGAACTATCTTGAGTTCATATTCGAGGTAGCTTATATCAACCGGGCCCCGCACAAAGACAACGAACAGAACAAGTTTTTTTATCATTCTAGCGTTTTAATGGATTCCCGATCACACGCGGATACCGTGTGTCTGTGACAAGCACAATTCGCCTGCAACCTACAACGATTATCTAACATCGCTCTATAAATTCAGCCGTGCGGCAGTCACGCTACAACGTGGCAGAGGCCATGGCAGACACAGACGTCGGGCAGCACAACTAGTCTAGTTCCTCCTGGGAATTTTGAAATCGGACATTGCGTATCAGAAGCTGACCTTCGAATGTCTTCATCCTAGAAGTTCGGCAACGATGCTATCTAACTCCTTCTTCGATGCCGCGGTTTTCTGTGTTTCGGCCTCCAACTCGGCCTCTAGCACCTTAATTTTTCTCTGTTTGGAGCAAACAAAAAATAAAATCGATATTATGATCCAATGTGCGACAAAATCTGAGATATCAATAAAACACAACCCACTCCATATCGATTCCACTAATAAAACTCCATGACAAGCCTGTAATGCCGTACTGATATAGAATTGCTGAAACTCAATATAAAATACTTCAAAACCCAATATAAATAACTTTGCCTTATTCACAGTACACATTGTGATTATATCGTGACACCGAACCTGCGATTGAACTAAGTTGGACATTACACAAGGCGACAACAGCAAATCATCGATGAACATAAGACCAAGAAAGCAAATACGAACCGAGCCATCATGTTTGTCTTTTGATACACATTGCACATGCACACACACAGCTGAGTGCTTGTGAAACCCGAACTCTCTCAAGTCCGCGATCCCTCTACTATACACACACTCGTACAACAGCCATGGCATGCTTGAAATACCTTTAAGTCTTTGTTCTTTCGCTCGGCCTGCTCAGCCTCTAGTTCGGCGTTGTTGTCGCCACCGCTGCGCGACTGAGAAAGACTATCTTCGGTTTCCTCTACATTTAATAATTGAGATCAATGATCAGGATGCCGAATAAGGCAAAGCACAAATAGTAGAATTAATGTTGATTCTTCAGTCTTTTTTTAATCATCGGTAATACCAGTCAGGGTCAGTGTCAGACGACAAGGTACATGATAGATACCTTCGGTGCATACTTTTTATTATTCCGAGTTACGACCATGATAAATGCGGTACTGCCCCACCTATTTTCCATTGAGTAGTCAGAACGATAGCCAGTATTCAATACGTTGCAGAGTTCAGAAAACTTCGGAGTACGATGCTAAGTGTAATCGACGCTTGAAGCTCCGAGCCAATCAAACATATATGCGCCATTATCAGATTTGATTCCTAGCTATGATTTCAACTGACGAAAATGTAATAATACAATAACACTCCACCGGAAAGTATACGCAAAGGCATACAACGATTCGCAAAGCAACACCGTCCATGGTTTTAGCGCACCACCCGGCTTTATACACCAATATGTGCATAGACAAGCAGCTGCAGTGATACACGTTAGTAAAGTAAGGCAATAATATTGAACTACTAGCACACAATTGCGATCATTTTTCTTAGAACACCACCCAGTTTTATATGCCAATATATGCATAGGCACGCAGCTGCAGTGGTATACGTTATCGAAGCCAAGCAATAGTACTAAACTATTGGTGCACTACTTTTTTTTTCTGACATACCTAACTGGGCAACGAGCGCATCTTGCTTGGCCTGAGCCGAGTCCAGCCTAGCGTTGGTCTCTTCCATCTTTTTCTGTAGTTGGTAAAACGGCCAATCGAACATAGAGTTAAAGGAATAGAATGGAAAATATCGCAGGCCTGGCAAACAGACATAAATATGAGTTGCACAGAAAAGTAATATTACAAAACAAGAAAAATAACAACACTGCATTCAGGCATAGTTACTCAGAGCTGACGTTCTGTCTACAAGCTCCCCTCGTACTCTTCAGTGAAGTGACTGTGCGAAAAGTATACAACGTGCCATGTGACACAACACGCAGTTCTACAGACAGGGCATGCGTTATACCCGCGACGTTTCAGACGTACAAGCGCAACCCCAGCTTGAGTTGCGGTGTTAATCGTACAACCATATTACTCAGAGGCAAAATAGCACATTGTTTGCAAGCTTAGCGTTGTCATCGCGCCTTACTAGGCCGTGTATATAAAGAACACGGACTATCCCATCGCATATACAGTACATCATGACACACACATTGAGCCACGACGTATGTGCACCTTCATTTTAAGCAAATCAGCGGTGAGTTCCCCGATTCTCTTGGCGTCCTTAGAATCTGTCTTGGCCGCTTCGACGCCTCCAGCCTTGGTGGCACGTTTTTCCAACTCGCTGGCCTACATTTAGGGGACAATACGATACATTCGTTAAGACAATGAGATGACACACGACACAGAAACCACAAGATTGAGCCAGATTCAGGTCGCGAATGAAGAATACAGAAGGTAGAGGAAGAAAACTGCGTCGCAGTTCCGGTGAGAGAATGAATTGATACAGGAACAGAATAGGAACTAAGTATTGCTATGCGACTGCTGAATACAGTACCTTAGCTCGCTGGGAGTGGTCTAGTCATACCTGGGTTTCTAATATATCAGCGCGCTCTTCGATGTTGTCTACATTGCCCATAAGAATTGTGAGCTTGTTTTTTAGGCCTTGTGCCTTGGTCTCGGCTTCAGCTAGGCGAGCTTCAGCTTCCTGGTGTTCATGAAGAATTTAGCAACATAATTTCTTTGACATTGAATGATAACTTCAAACACGCCTTATAATAGCACAGGTCATGAGCGTGACCTTGCTGCAAGACTATCACATAATGGTGTGTGACAATTCAGAGGAAAAAAAATGCTCGTCTAAGAATAAAAGAAAAATAAATTACAATTCGGAAGTACAATCAATAGTCGATCTACACCATATCAACACGCACGCATACACACATGCACGCACACATACATACTAATACATAACAATATATAACGATATAAACAATATAAATATATAACAATATGGATATATATAATACTATATATAACAATATAACATTATATTAACATAAATGTACGCAAGCACAGATAAAAGAATACATACACACACACATAAATATATATATATATAAATATATATATCTATGTACGTATGTATATATATATACATATATACATCATATACATATTTATAAATACATATAAATACATACATACATATATATGCATATACACGTATATATACATATATATATACACAAAATAACATACATACATACATACATACATATATATATATGTATATATATACATACATATACACGTACATAATCTACATATATATATATATATATATATGCAACAAAAATAACTACATACATACATAAATACATATATATATATACAAACAATAAACATGTATAGTACATACACATACATACACACACACATACATACATATTAATACATACATACACACATACATACATACATGTGAATATAT